ACGATATATTCGTCGTCGACATAATACCGTAAGGCAATTGTTGTCAAATGGAATAATCTCAATAGATTATATAAAATCTAAAGAGAATATTGCGATCCGTTAACAAAATGTTTGACAAAAGAGCTAGTGTATAGCTCATCGAAGGGGATAAGATTAAAGCCTATTACATAAGAGTCATTAGAATGGTAACCATACTTATATGACTGGAGATCCCAAGAACTAAGTTCAAAGGGACAACTAAGTTATGTGTGGCTCGCCAGAAATCATCAAGGGATTAAATTTCCCTACCCATTCCTATGGTAAGAGTGATATCTGCAACATATGTTGTCTGCAGGGGTATAAGGATAAGCTTAGCTTTTAATGATTACTTATATCTTGATTTAGGTATAAAAATCAAGACAAGTATAAAGAGATACTTACAATAAGAATCACTTATATGAGTGTCGAACTGGGGCTGGTTCTATGAGAATGAAAGAGGCTAAATTCTCTAGAAACACTTATGAAAACCAGGAGTGTTCAAGGCCAAAATGAACACAGCAGTGAGAACCACGATGTGTTAAAAGATATTTTGTGTGAAATCTATTGTCATGGCTTACATAAACGGCTGAACAATTCAAGGCATCGCGTCCATTAATTAGTTAGTAAGTCCAATAGGTTATCATTAAGGAAGGTTCAAGGCCGAAGGCTACTTATCCTGATGCAAGATATTTTTGACTTATACTCTTTCGACTAAGTCTGCATATTGTTGCATTTTCGTTGTCATCAAATTCTATTCATGTGGGGGATTGTTAGAAATGGTTGGGAAAATTCTAGGTAAAACTAGAATTTTTTTCTAAATTTGGTCTATTTTTTAGGTGGGACCCGAGCGTCGATTTTCGCGGGTCAAAGTGGTAACGTGTTTTATGCCACGTTGTGATTCACGTGGTGTATTTGGTTGCTCAAAACTATTATCGAGTGAATGGGAAATTGAAGTCAAAGTGTGCTCCATGAAAATGGAGTTTTGGTGGAACATCCTTAAAGGATGAAAAATGGTTTGTCCCACATTGATTTGGTGGAAAGTTTTGAATGGGTTTTTAAGGCATGGGATTGGAACTTGGGGTGTGCCCCAAGGGGTACCCAAGTTTTGTAGAGATGGAGGTTATGAGCAAAATGGGCTAGACCCATTGGACTCAAAAATCACCCCGCGCGAGCCGCCGTTGTCCGGTCGGTCGGGCTGGACTGGGACTGGGCTTGGTCGCGGGTGCATGGTGTGAGGTTGGGTTGGGCTTGTCCGGCCCAATACTTATCTTTTTGGGCCAAGAACATTTGAATTTTATTTTTCTAAATTTAAATTCAAAATTTTCCAATTTGTTTTTCGGAATTTAAAATTCAAAATTGGGTCTGTTTTTCTCCCACCCGAACAGAATTGATTTTGCTTAATTTAAAAAAAACCCGGACATATTTAAATTTGTACAATTCAATTTTATCTGTTTGAATTTAAATCCAAACAGTACCAATTCAAACCAACAGGTTCAGTACCTGTTCAAAATAGGTTTGCATCTGTTTAATTCAAAACCAGCAGCCACCAATCCATCTATAAATAGAACATTCCTCATTTGATGTTATATTCTGAAATTTCGTACTTCTCCTCTGTAAATTTATTCTTCATTTTGCTGCATTTAATTTTTGTAAGAAGAGTGTAAACGCTTAGTGTGTTTGTTGAACAAAAAAATTGTAGTGCTGCATTTATTTGTAGTTGATCATTTCATCCTGGGAGATGGACGTCCATATTCTGAAAGCACCATAGAGAGGACGAATCTGTCTTAAGGAGACAGCATCGAACACTGGACTTGATCAGAATAATATTCAAGATATTAATCAAGTTATTTATTTATTTTCTGTTTTATTATTTATTTAAATCAGATTTTAATTTTATTTTTGTAACAAAATAAAATCTATTTTTTATTTATTTAATTATATTTCTAGTTTGATTTTTGTAATCAAACTTTCTCTCTCCTTTCCTATTTTTCTTTTATATTTTGTTTGTCGTTTAGTACTCAAACAGAGTTAATTAATTTAATTACAGTGAAGATTGTCTAACATTTTTTGCGTTCGAGCTCGAGTTCGAGCTCGAGCTGTTAAATTTTTAATAAGCAAGCCCAAACATTTTAAAACTCGCCTCGTTAACTGCCTCATTTGATATTTATTATTTATACATTAAATAATGTAAAAATATGTATAAAAAATAAGATAAATATGTTATTTATATATTTAAAAAATATAAATGTAAATAACAGTTAACTATAGATAGTACATTTATATATAATAGTGGTAGTAGATATTATTATTTTGATAAAATATTGGCATTTTTTCTTAATACTTTTATATATATTGTATATATAATTATATAATCAAAATTTTAATTATAATTTTAATATCATACGCAAGTATGAATTTATAATTTTTTTGACTCGTTAAGACTTGTAAACAGGCTTGAGCTCGAGTCAAACTTAAACTAACTTAACTCAAGTTTAATTCATTAAATTTTTATTGAACTCGAACTCAATTTCAAATTTATTAAAATTTTAATAAATAAATTCAGACATATTAAAATTTGACTCTGCTCGATTCATTTGCTACCTTAGGTGGGAGCAAGAGCAAAACCTTCACCACGAAGGATCTGTTATGTTATTTGGAGGTGGGGTGTGAATAGAAACCTGGGGCAGCTCTTTTGTTTTCTTTTCTAGTCAATTATATTAAATTATTAAATTACACGCTTATTACAGCAAAAGATTACCAGTTAAAACCCCTAAATCCATAAGGAGCCCACTAATAATCATGAGAAAGACAGCAAATCATTAAATTAAAATTTTAAAATTCAACTACCATGATCCGACACGTTTTTGCAGTATTTATTCACTATTTCTTTCCTATCCTCATGGGGACAAGATTGTCACCCACATATTATTTTTTAATTCCTTCTATGCAATATGTATATATATCATTTTCAAAGAATCTTTGTGATAATTTAAATCAAGAGTAATATGCAGACCAATAATACAAAGCTACAACACAGTAACACTGTGTTTGGTTAGAAAATTTGAGAAGAGATTTGGAAAAGAAAAGAAAAAAAGTGTGCGAAATTAAGTAAAATATAAGTATGTTTTATTCACATTTCACCTATCTTTTCTATTTTTCTTTCCAAATTCCTTATCAAATCCCCCCTCAATTCCTCCCAACCAACCACGACATAAATCTTTTGTTAAACCCTAGAAAACTAAAATTTTTACTAACCGCCTCCCATTAAATTTTTAATCTATTTTTAAAAGTTATCTTTCCATATCTGAACTCCACTACTTTACCTCAAAATATATATTTCAATTGAAAAAAAAAAGGATTGATGAGCTATTAAGAGCCTACAGAGATTCACTGGGTCTAGTCACAATCTCACCAATGCCAACCTGGGATTCTTTTGATGCTCCTTTTTTTAAAAAATAAATAAATTATAAAAAAATAAAAATAATTTACAACCTAACCAATTGGCTTCGATCGGCAATATTCAGGTCAAGTTTGGCATACACAAAATAATCCATCTTTTTATCTTTTTTTCATCACATCACCTCTCTATTTTTCTACACATCTTTTCGTAAAAAGACAAAAAGTACACTTATTTAGGTCATCCAAAACAACTCCTCAATTTTAGCTTAATCAAAAAGTCATTAAAAGAAAGTTAAAAAATTAATAACTTATACAAAAAAAATTTAAAAAATTTCCTTTCTCTTTACTTTTTATACATTTTTTTTTTGTAAGAAGTCTAAAATCATTCCAATCATACTAATTTTTTTAACTCATATTTTAACTACAAAGTTACTAAAATAACTTATTTTCAAACAAAGCCAAATGAAGGATTAATCTTTTTTAAAGATAATTTAATTACTTTTTTTTACGTCAATTCAATTACTTGATCCTTATTTGATTGAGCATTTCTTTTCTCTAGACTTTTTTTTTTTTTTTTCCCCTAGTGTTTATTATTGATAATTGTTGAGTTTATAAATGTATTGTTAGACTATAATTATAATTGTGCAGTCTGATATAATCATTCTCATGTTTATAAATAATCTTATAAATTGATAACACATACATATGTTATAAAATTCATTTCTAAGTAAAATTCAGAAGATATTTGCAAATTAGGTGACTTTATTGTGTTGGCATGTATATGTAAATCTTTGAGGCTCCGTTTGACGAGAGCTAACGGGGTTTTTTTTAGCTATTTTAATCACAAAAGACAAAATAGATTATTTTAGATACAAAAAACAAAATATCACATTCAACTCATAATCATTACATTTTTCTCTCACAAAAAAAGCTAAAAAGTCAAAAAACCTTTCTCAAACCAAACTTTTTATCTCAGGCTAAAATAGCCAAAAAAGCCAAAAAACTAAAAAGTCAACCCACTTCCCAAACGGAGGCTGAATAGTACAAGACCTTTTGCTTGATTGATTTGTTCTCTACACAAAAAGAAAAACAATAATGATTCATCCTATTAATTTAAGAGTATTAACTGTTTACTAATGAGGTGAAAATTCAAAGAAAAAAAAAAAAAATTTAAGATCAAAACATTATATCAGTAAATGAAACCCAATCTCTAGACCTCCCAAACATTTCTCAAAGAAAAATGAAAATAATTAAAAGAGAACTGAAACGGAAGGTTCCGTTTTGTGGTTAATAATATGGAAATTACAGGACCCCAAGAATTGGCAGAATTTATGGTTTTGACTACAGCTAAAGCTAACCAAGTCTTAATCATTCAAGGTTAGACTTATGAGAGTTGGTGGAGCCCACTCTACTCACTCACACAGCTGGTTACAACATTTTAAAGTTACAATCATACATACCTACCAAAGTAAACAGTTTTTATATATGACAAATAAGAAAATTTGAAGGATCATAAATATATCTAGTTGAATTGATATATGTTGCTTTCAATTGTGTAGTGAAGTCCAAAGAGGAACAAAAAGTTGGAAAATGAAAGCTTGTGGAAATTTCATCTTCTCATTCATTCTCCTACTTGTTGCAAATACATGTATCTTACAATGGTGGTGCTACAGTACTTTGCACCATAATACCCATAATACAGACTTGGTTTTAGGATTTTATACAGACTTGGTTTTAGGATTTTACAATGGATTCTACTATAATAGATAACAAACCAACCCAAAATTTAAAAATTAGAAGACCTAATAAAGGGCAGTCCGAGGCTTTGTCATTGGGAGATTCGGAAATGATCAAATGTATATAGTCATATCCTCACATTCGTATACAGCAAGTCAACCTTACCAATGCAACAAGGGCCGCCCTTGATTAGAAGGCCAAATTACTGACAAAAAATGAAAATGATCTCTGATTAGGACTCAAAGATGGATTAGCACTGCATCCCAAGCACACACCTCAGAGTGAATATCTCTTTCTATATACAGCAGCCTCTGGGCCTTGAGTTGAGGACAAATCAATGGTGATCACAGTTCAATTTTCATGTGAGATGATTCAAGTCCTGTATTGTGGTTTGGGTTCTTGACCAAACCCCATCTGAACAATGCTTTGCAGATCATCTTCACATAATGTTGGAAACTGAGCATTTCAAGTTGAGAAAAGCAGAATTAGATGATGAAAAACTTGAAAGGGCTGTGCAGTTGTGTTTTAATTTCCATTTCAATGCTAAAAAAACACAAAATTGTTTCAGAAAACTGTTTTCAGATTTTTTTGTGTGTGTGGGTATTTCCAACTTTTCATTGTTTTCGTTACCGAAACACGAAAAATGAAAACGGAGAAAACAAAGACACAACCAAATTCTTCAGGAATGGGACAGCATTTGAATACCTGTGGAAGACCTTGGCCAAATTCATCGACTGGAGGTAATTGCATGCCGATGTTTTGGCATAATTTGGTGCTTGTATGGTTCCCACTGGAAAGATTGGTATGTACTAGTGGAAATTCCTGGGTCTGTTGTCCAAAGAAAGCAGAAGCAGAGGAATCTAATGGGTATGTTTGATGAGGGAAAGAGCCATTAGGCTGAAATACCTGGAATTTACAACCAATTTTAGAAAACTAACATCACAGTAGATAAAAGAAATTGATTTTACAACATGTTTCTATACTTACATCTTTTGACAAGAGACTATCCATGTTAAATTCCAACCTTGGATTCACAGAAGCTAACTTCATTGACAGAAACTACAAAGTACAAAATGAATACACAATACCCATTAAGTCATAGAACTCAATTATGCAATCAGAATGAAACCCCGTGGTATAGAACAAGTCCTAAATTACCTCAACTTGTCGTTGCAGTGACTGCACATAGTTTATAATTTCATCAAGCATAAGTGCTTTTCCATTCACCTACAAATACAATGGAAAGAAAATTTCCAAGGCCAAGTTAGTCATTGCCCAAAAATGAATTCAAACTCTACTGTCGCTTAAATTTGTTGCAAAGCATTTTGGTACACACACCTTATTGCAACCTGGCACGAGGTCTTGGAGAAGCTTCATTCTTTCGCTGATCTTCTCCCTTCGGACCTGCCCAATTGACAGAAACTACAAAGTACAAAATGAATACACAATACCCATTAAGTCATAGAACTCAATTATGCAATCAGAATGAAACCCCGTGGTATAGAACAAGTCCTAAATTACCTCAACTTGTCGTTGCAGTGACTGCACATAGTTTATAATTTCATCAAGCATAAGTGCTTTTCCATTCACCTACAAATACAATGGAAAGAAAATTTCCAAGGCCAAGTTAGAGTCATTGCCCAAAAATGAATTCAAACTCTACTGTCGCTTAAATTTGTTGCAAAGCATTTTGGTACACACACCTTATTACAACCTGGCACGAGGTCTTGGAGAAGCTTCATTCTTTCGCTGATCTTCTCCCTTCGAACCTGCCCAAATACCCGAAAATAGCAACGTTAATGCTAAGCTAGCCGCGGAAGAATTGGAGCGAATGATGAGAGAATTGGGCTGTGACTCTTACTCTTTCAGCAAGGCTATGGCTATCAGTAGCTTGACCCCTTCTTGCTCTTACATGAATGTAGTCCTTTGGGGGCTCGGGAGGCTTCTGGTTAGCCTTTGTTTGTTTCTCATCCTCATCCCCTGTTTTAACAGTATCATTTGCGCTCCCACTGCCTTCATTGGATTTGAATCGCTTGGTGTTCGGGTCATCCTCTGCCTCTGTTACCTGGAAGAACAGAATTGTTAGAATTCTCAACTGAATCAAAGAAAAAAAAAGTTAAAAGAGTGTCTTTAATTTTTCTTGGTGATTCATATACCTTTGTGGCATCGACAGAATTGGATTTTCCCCTCGAACCTGCTTTTCTTTTCCTGGAATTAGAAGAAATTGGATTTTTCAACACCGTTTCGCCATATGGGATTTGCTCAGAAACAGAGGAACCCTCATTAGAACTTGCAAATTCAGTTCGATCCAAGGTAGCAGACTCCAGAACTTTTCTGAATTTTGTGTCTGAGCCAATTGACGACCTCATTTCCATTTGGGTTTGTGTTGAATTCTTGTTTTCTTGAGCACCCATCGGCGATACAGCTGCCTTGATAGAAGGACTACTCGAAACTCTCGGCAACTTCACACTTGCCATCAATGGACTCAATCTGTATGGCAATTCACCATTGTTCAAACCCAATTGGTTCGTTCTTCCATTGAAACTCCGACTTCCGAAGCAGGAAAACTTCGCTGCCCTCTCGGCGAACCCAGGATCGGCAGAAAGTGATGGCAGATTGTGATTCATAGGCATTGAGTTAGCCAATTTTGGAGGCAAATGTAATTTGGGAGGCGAATTCAAAGGCGTAGTATAACACGAATTGTGAGAGATTTGGGTGGTGGAGTTGCAAATGTTACCCAGTTTTCCAATCAGCTCTCGAATTGCGAAAACGTCGTTGGACATGGCCGAATTGGAAGCCACTGGCGATGAGACCATTGAACTCATGGCTGACTCAAAGCTACCGTACTGTTCCGTTGACTTGTCGCAATTAAGGAAGCAATCCGAAGATTGTTCGGGCAAGCAATTCAGTTCCGGGAATGAAGACATAGATTTCCATGTCGGTGGAATAACAGCATTGAGAAAGTACTCTTTGTCCATGGAACAACTTAGGACCAAGAGGTAGATGAAATGGACCAAATATGGTTTATGGATTTGAGGTTAAAAAAAAATGAGACCCAGATGAGAATTCAGAGGAATGAAGTGGAAATGGGAGAGAATTTAAGGTTCTAGATGAAAGAGAAAAGGGAAAGATGATCAAGGTGTTTGTAACAAACAGAGGAAGCAAACAGAGAAGTGGGTTTCAGAATGATGGCATTGTAGGGCTGAGAGGGTTTGGTGAGAGAAGGTTGTGCTGGGGTTGGGGATGGAAAAGCAAATCAAACAAGAAAGAGAGAGAGAGAGAGAGAGAGAGAGAGAGAGGAGGGGGGGAAGGTTTTGGGTTGGGAAGTGAGGAAGTTATATAGGCGAAGAAGGAACTGTTTGATTGAGATGTTATTCTTATATTATTAGAATACAGATACAGATAGAGAGACAAACAGCTGTAAAAGAGTAAAAACAGTTTTGTTATACATTTGTTTGCCATTGTATCCGTAAAAAGCGGAGGGGAAGGGGTTAATGCCGGGCCTTAAACGTCAAACCAAGAAATTGTCCATTTCCACTCTCTTGAAATTACCAGTAGAGAGAGCATATCATCGAAATTCTATTCCATCATATCATCTCTTCTCTCTCTCTCTCTCTCTCTCTCTCTTGGGAGAGAAAACGTTAAGAGGAAACTGGAAAGAGTTGCTGCGGTCTGCAGTTTCAGGATTTGGTTTGACTTTTCTTCCTTCACTGTTTTCCTTTATTCATTTCGAAAATGTGCGTTTAGTTTAAGTTTTTTTGATTAAAATTTTTAAAAAATTTAGTTTTTAATTTTCGTATTTTTTTATTTTTAATAAATATTTTTAAAATTTTAAATATTTTTTTAGATGTACATTAGTTAGATGTATTTAAAAAATAAAAAATTTGTAAAAAAATATTTTAAAAAATTAATAAATATATAAAAATATAAAAAATATACTGAATTCTCGTATTTTTTTTTTTGTATTTTTGGTATTTAGTAAATTTTTAAAATATTTTTGTCATAATTTTTTTATTTTTTAGGTATATTTATGTTAGGTATGTCTAAAAATTAAAAAATTGCTCAAAATATTAAAAAAATTTAGTAAAAACAAAAAAATACGGAAAATAAGAAAGTATAATTTTCTGAAAAGTATTTTTGAAAAACTCTAACCAAGCAAAGTGATTTTAAAAAAATTTCTGTGCATTACACTTCATATACAATCTTGTATAAAATTATATAAATTTTTATGAATTTATATAAGTAATTTTATAAAAATACATAAATTTAACACAAATTTACGTAATAATATAATTTTTTATGAACTTATATAAATTTGTGTTTAACCTACATGTTTTTCTGTGATCAATTTATGTAAATTGATAAAAATCTACATAATTTTGTATAGAGTTACAAACGGTCTGCATTGTACACTGGAGCATTAATTAAATCTACTTTTTAGAGAATGTAGGTGGAATTTTTTCTAAGGAAGACTACAAAGGAGCATTAATTATATCCCTCTCTAACTTTAATAATGAGAGAGGTCCACAATATTTCTTTTTGTAGTTTAAGGTCCCTTAGTTATATCCTCTCTTTTCTCTCTCTCTATGACTGTCTAACATTTGGGACGCGCTAGTGATCATGTTCTTGACGTAGTGCTATGATGTAGAAGACAAGTCCAATTTGAATATATATATATATATATATAGAGAGAGAGAGAGAGAGGAGGTGAGAAGACATGTCGAAGCTGTGGACGAAGATTGCAGGGAAGAGGAGGAGGAGGAGGAGGTGAAAAGACATGTCGAAACTATATAGATGAAGATTGCAGGGTTGCTCAACAACCAATCATTGGCGGGAATGGACAAAGTAGGTAATCGATACTTCACCAGAAAAGACGTAATCGATGGTTTTACTAAGCTGATCTCTCTCTCTCTCTCTTTCTCTCTCTCTCTCCTCACTTTCTTTCTATTCTTACAAAACCCATTCATTGATTCGTTTGTTTGAGTATAGAAAATTTAGGAAAACTATTGATTATGAGGCATTAAATTTTGTAGCTTTCGTTTTTTTCGAATTTGGTTAGTGCTACATTGTTACTGTTTTGTAGAATAGAATGTTGAGTCATACATGTGCTGGGGACAATATGGTTTTCATGTCTCTTCATGTCTATAGTATAGTTTCAATTTCTGGGAGAATGTTTCTTTGATTGGTTGTGCTTTAGATAGCCAATTTGCTAGTTTTATGTACAAAATAAAATTTGCAATCATTGGAAGCATTGTGGGGAAATTGTGCTACAAGTATATGAACTTGCTTGTTTTAGCAAGAGAAAACTAGAAAAGCTCAATTGGAACTCGATTCAGAAAATTAAAAAATTGAAATTTTTGCACCCAGTTGGTTTTGTGATGAAGAAACAATAGCAAACTATTTAAGTTTTCAGTATAAAAAAAAAAAATTTGGTTGATTAAGCAACCCAAATTTGAAATTGCAAAATGGGTGATCATAGACAACAATAAACTCACGGATGTAGCGGAATTTGGACGAGGAGATTGTGATTTGTGAGCAATCAAATTGAAAGTTGTGTGAGCAAATCAGATTGAATTTTCTCTGAATCATGTGGATTTTCTCTGTATGTGGGAACTGTGTGAATTTTCTTTGGTTGTGACCATTTTTTGTGTCACGACCCAAACTCGCCCCTATAGGTTTAGCGTCGTAACCGTCCAGTAATCCTTGGATTATCGAAGGCTTCTGAACTAATTAACAGAAATAAGGGGCTAGCGGAAGCAAATACATAATTATAATTGTCCAATGAGCTGTGTTGACTTATATGAAACAGAATATTTAAAACTTTATATACACATCCAAAAGTCATTCTTACATTATACCTATACACATTATGGCATTATATGAACAACCAACAAAACAAATAAGTCTCACATACAGAAATAACCAGAACTTAAAACACGTGACACTTCCGGAACCTCCACGGGAGGCACAGTGGTTGGCTGACAACAGAACACAGATCTAACAAAAGCCTTCAGGCTCGATCTCCAAAATGCTCACCTATACATATATATACACACAGTGAGCTAAAGCCCAGTGAATAACATTAAGGTAAAGAGGTTAGTGAACGAATTCCGAACATATCATAATCGTAAAACAAACCATAACATAATCATTCTCATATCTGAACATAATAATGGTACATCCCATAGAATACATCACATAACGTCTTCTGACTAGAGTAATCTGTCCCAGATACCGATTAAACACATATCATCACAATGAAGTGGCTAACGAGATCTCGTATCACATATATGTCATGGACCCGCATTAACATGTCGTCCCGCATGACTTGGGACTATCTATGGATGCCATAATAGATTTCAAACATGGGACATTCGTTCACGTAAACAGATATCATGTCAGAAATCATAACTTAACATATAACATTTGGAACATAATTCATATGAACATATCTTTACAGAAATGTTACTCACAGTGGGCTCCCGTAAATGGTCAATCAATTTTCGGATGTTGACCTACAAACACAAAAGTACATAATACAAACATATCTTATCATTATACATGTTCACATGGCCGTTATGGCTTAGCTTTCTTATTCAGTTCAGTACTTAAGACTTGTACACGTGAATTAATTCTCGGATTCATCTCGTATTTTTCTCTAATTTAATCACTCATGTTATTTCTTGGCTCAATACTCTTAAATGACTCACAACTCATGCCTAAATATGCTCAGAAAAGGATGGGAACAAAAATATGAACACTGAATGCCTTTCGAAAATATGCTGAATTTGGCCTGGCCGCTCGAGCGACCAAAGGTACGCTTGAGTGGATTGGTCTGTTTGCAAAAGTACTGGATGGTCTCAATCTATGCTCAAGCCACAACTCCTGCGCTCGAGCGGATCAACAATATACAAAGGGTTCGCTCGAGCGTCCAAGTGGTCACTCGAGCGGGCTGTAATAGCCTGCAAAACTACTGGATGCACGAAATATACGCTCTAGCGGCAAATCCCCCGCTCGAGCGACCTTCAAAAATTCTGGGTTTCCAAAACAGAGTTTTGAGCTTCCATATGTAATTTCAATGACAAATTCGAGCATGGCTTGTTCATAAACTTGGAAAACTTATTCATAAACATAAATATATGATTTTCACAAACTCTTTTTACTCAAAACTCATGAATTTACCAAAATTAGACCAAAAACTTTCATGCATGTAAAACATACAACTCTTTTCTCCAAAACTTATGAATTTAACACGCTTGAGCTTATAAGCTCTATGCATGTAAGAAATTATTTTCCAAAACATGAAATCAAGGTTCAAAACACGATATGTGACAACCCTCACCACTGATTAGTACTAATCTATGATTAAGCATGTTAAGTGACTGATTGACTGAAATTCTGACTGATTGATTGAGTGTATTAGTTTGAGTCTATCTGTTTGACTGCTAATTGATCTGTTCATGTTTATGTTTTAAACTGCAAATTGAAGGCCTTATCGGCGGCCAAATCTAAAATCGATTAGTGTTTTATGCTAAATAGAATTTATGTGATTTTATGGTAAATTTAGTTGAAATTTGATTTGGTATGATTAAATAGGATTAAATAAGCTAAATCACATTAGTTGCTTTAATTACCCTTTTGCCATTAGTGGGCCACTATCTACAACCTTGTCTTGAAGCCTTTGATGCATCATTCTTGTTCATTCCTAGAGTCAAAACCGACTAGAGAGAGAGAGAGAGAGTTAGGAGAGCTTGGTTTCATCTAGAGAATTGCTTGGAGAACTTGAAGAATTGAAGAGTAGATTGCACAATTGAGCTTCTAGACTTGAAATTGAAGACTTAAGGTAGAGCTTTTACCTTGTTGTTTATGAATTGAGTTGGTTCTTGGATGGTTTAGAGGAATGTTGGAGTCTAGAGCCAAGTTGTGGCTTAAAATATGGAATAGTGAGCTTGTATCTTGCATGTATGTTTACATTGTTGAATTTTGATGTTGTTTTCTTAGAATCCTCACATGTATGTCCATATTTGGGTTATAGTTCATGAATTCATCATGTTTTTGAAAGGATTGGCTCATTTGTTCTTGTATTGGAAGCTTTTATTTCAATGGAACTCATACATGTTGCATGTTCATCATGTTCTTGATGTTTATTTGAAATTGGTGTTCAATTGACTCACTTTTGGGCTTTGATTTTGCAAATTGATCTTTGAAACATGTTATATTATGGGTTTAAAGTGTTTTTCCAGAAAATGGGCCCAAGAGGTTGAGTTTTGATGTGTTGAATGTTGAGTTTCATACTTGGAGACAAATATGGAAATTCCAGATTTTGAATCCA